ATGGGCAGTCACAAATTCATCTGGCTTTTAATATCTTCTTGTTCTCACCTAAAAAGTAATATCTGTTTTGCTTTATGACATTTAATAGAGGTGAGTTTTGCAGTTATAACATTCATGAATTTGATGTTTAATGATGGTCTCAGAACTTGTACTGTAGGAATGCTGAGAATCTAAATATATACATTTTCTTGTATGTGTAACTTATTTTGACTAAACTATGCAAACCTATTAGAACTAAATATTTTGGTGAAAGAGAAATATGCAGCTATACTATTTAGTATATACTTAGCAAGTCATGTAACATCTTTGAAATATTGTTTTCTCCCTTATAAAATAATGAAGCAGGACATAACCACTAAGGCATTTTCTAGCTGCAAGAAATCCTGTTATAAATTATTAACTATCTCTAATAATTTGAATTATTGTTCAGCAAATATTAACGTATCTCCACCTTCCACTGTAGGAAGAGTCTATTTTCCCATTTATTGATGTCAGATTTGGCAATGTAATTTGCTTTGGCCAATCAAATGTCAGTGAACTTCACAGGAACATAGGTCATGAGTGTTCTGGGGAGGTCAGGTTCATTCTTTGGTGACTTGTCATGAAAATATCTCACTGACTCTTCATCTTAGGTTCAGTGCAAAGACATATATAGCAGACCTTAATCCAACATGCATCCTGGAGCCTAGCTCAGCTAACCCACATCTTGAAGCAGAGCTTCCCAGCCAAGCCCAGCGGATTCAGTCAAACTACAAGTAACCTAAACAGCCAGAAATGCCTGTTGTTTTCATTCAGTGAGTTCTAGGGTGATTTGTCTCACATTACTGCAGTCATAGCTAATACTACCATACATATACCATATAAGAAAAAGATGAATAGAGCTCTTACTAGCTCAAATTTATTTTGACTTAAACCCAAGTTGGCTTACTTTTTTGTTGAAAACACCATGTGAAGGCTGTACTGAACATTTGTGTATTGGTAAATTAATAGCTTCTAAATCTATCCAAGGATTCAAGAACCTACCATTGTATGGGACTTAGTAGGACACAAGGCGTTGACTGCCACTACAATGAAGAACAAATTAAGCTATTTATTTTCCCTGACTCCTGGCAATGGGAACCTAGTTCTGTGGCCTAAACCTGTGTTATAGCAGCAGTCATCAATTTATGTACCATCAGCAAAATCCAGCCTGCCATCTACCTTGGTAAATAAAGTTTTATTTGAACACAACATGCTCACCCATTGATACATTATATATGGTTTCTTTCACCCTAAATTAGCAGTGTTGTGTAGCTGTGACAGAGACTACATGGTCTGCAGGGACAAAAATATCTACTAACTGCCCTTTGCAGAAAAAAATCATCCTCTGACTTATCAGATACTTCTACCAGAGACCTTAATTGTAGCTTGAGTGACACACAAAAAGAAGAAATAATTTAGTTACATTTTTTTTGGCAGTGACAATAGCAAGCAATGTCCAGTGCAATGGTGTTCCTGGTGAAGCAGTGGACGTTGGCATGAGAGCAAAAATAATTCAGATTTACCTCATAGCTTGATAATGGATATGTTACTGTATGCCCAGCCAACTCTTCCTTTATAGTTTCTTCCCATTGTTAAACCTAGCTCTCAGGCTTCCGTATTGATTCCATGAGGTATGTCTGATATCCTTCTAGTAATTTATATAATTCTACAAGAGTCACTTTCTTTTAGTTATAACTCAGAACCTTGACTGGTCTATAGACCTTGATTTATTGCTAATTCTTAGTAAGATGTTTTCATTCCATTCCCCAGTGATCTTGTTCTTGCCCTCTTGTACAGCTCCAATCTATCAACCCTTATTTTACTGGCTGGTTGTCCATTTTCTCTCCAAGTCTGTGAAGCTCTTCAAAGTGGGGACTGAGTCTAATTGTTCTCTCTGTGGTTCTCAGAGAAATTTGAAAGCGTGTAAGAATGTATTAACACATGTCATGACTATCAGAGCCATAAGATCACCATTTTCATCATGAAAATTGCCAACCTTAACTGAGCCATTATCATGTTTAAGCAATCCACTAAACTCCCTATATTCTGTCAGATAATCCTCATAACAACCCTGTGACAAAGACACTATTCTTATTCTAACTTAAACATAAGAAATGTATGGAGCAGAAGACTTAAGAAACTTGCTCAAGGACAAATAGATAGTCAGCAGGCAAACCAGGATTCCAATACAGGTTGGAACTCTAAAGCCTGCACTCATCAGCAATTAATTAAGACAGTTTTATCTGAGATTATACTAAAAGTCAAAGGAAATTTAACAACTCCTAACCAAATCCTACAGAATGTCAATGGATATGAAATTTCAGCCACTGGATAAGAAAAGGGTGGATCTACTAGAGTTAGAAAAATTCTATCCTTTGTCAAAACCAGAAAAGTCCTCAGAGTTGGGGTGAGATTTCAGCTACCCTCTCTGTGGAATGATATTACTGTTTCTGTTTAAGTCTAGGGTGAAGGTAAACTGAAAGAGAAATGTTCATATGACCCTGTGAGAAGGGAATACGTGGATCATTTGCCAAATATCACTGATAAGTAAAGTGGAGGAGAAACCTCAAAAAGCAGAAAGTGTTATTTCGACTTTAGTGCAAAACTGGTAGGTTGTCTATACAAGCACAGTGATCACTGGCTACCTAAGAAACTTCAAAGGTCCTTAGGGAATAGTGTGAGTGGCCTACAATGCTGGGAGAAAACGGTGACTATAAGAAGATAAACCAGACAGAGGAGAACTTCCCAACAGTGGAATGAACATCCCAAAAGATGGTAATGAAACTGACATCATAGGAGTATACTGCAGAGCCTCATAATAACTTAATGTGAAATAGTGGCAGAAAGTACACCAAGGTGGCAATATAAGTTTATTCAAATATTTTTATTTATTTATTTTAGAGACAGTCTGTCACCCAGGCTGGAGTACAGTGACATAATCATGGCTCACAGCAGCCTTGAATTCTGGGGCTCAAGTGATCTTCCTGCCTCAGCCTCCCAAAGCACTGGGATTACAAGCATGAGCCATTATACTATAAGGTTAAGTTTGCATTTGCAGCATATACACAGAGCAGTTGAGTTTTTTTTCCTTTATCAAGCCTAGCTTTGAATACTATGGGACCAGCTATTTTAAAGGAAGTAGAGATAAATCAGTCTCTCTCTCTCTCTCTTTTGAGATGGAGCCTTGTTCTGTCATCCTGGTCAGAGTGCAGTGGCGGATTTCGGCTCAGGGCTCACTGCAGCCTCTGCCTACTGCGTTCAAGGGATTGTCCTGCCTCAGCCTCCCAAGTAGCTGGGACTATAAGCACATGCTACCACACATAACTAATTTTTGTGTTTTTAATGGAGTGGGGGGTTTCACCATGTTGGCCAAGCTGATCTCAGACTCCGGACCTCAAGTGATCTGTTCGACTCAACCTCCCAAAGCGCTGGGATTACAGACATGAGCCACTGCACTTGGCCTGGAAGTTGAGATAAATCTGTTCGACTATCCAAAGGGGAAATATTCTCAGGTTTCTGAGAGGAGGTTTGAGTCCAGACACACTGAACACCAACTTTGTGCTCAGCACTGCATCGGTCCTAAACATATAACACAAATATAACATAGCCTTTTTCTATAAGGAGCTTGTGCAGTAGGAAGAAAAGTAAACAAATTGATTACTATGTGGTAAGTTCTAGGAGTTGGCACATCAGATCATATATTCTACAGGGTAGCCACCAAGTCTGTAAATATTTCCAAATATATAAATGATTTATTGATAGTATATTACATTAAATGATGAAATAATATCCATATTTCCAGATGTTATGAGCAACTAATAGTTTTAGGATTTCTAGAAAAAGACAACGTCTGAAGTGAGACCTGAAGAACAGGCAGGTCAGAGGGAGCACAAAACACTTGGGCATCTGCCAAATTGATTTAATATTGCTAGAACATAATTTGGAGGGCCTGTAGGGCAGGCATGAAGAAATAAACAGTGAGGCCGACCAGATAATTAAGCACAATTAAGGAGTTAGGGTTTCATTCTCAAGGGAATAGATTATAGTAAGGAAGCTCTTACACTTTAGAAAAATGATGTCCAATGAAAGATCATTGAAAACAAAGTGGAGATAATAATTTGAGACAACTGAGATTAACGCTAGAAGTCTTTCTTTAGGTGCCTGATATAGTGAACCAATAACTAAAATAGGAGTCAAGATGCTTAGAAATTGACAGATGTAATAGATATCATAGATGTTCCCTATAATCATTAGATGAATGATTTTATTTCCTCTGAGAATAATTAAGAAAGCTACCTCGAGAATAAATAACTTTGAAATGAATCACTTTAGGCTGTTAGAGAACTTTATAACTTTTAGTCTAAAAATGTCAAAGAAAAAGTATTCCACTTCTTGTGATGTGAGGCTAACTAATGTACATGAATTTCTGCTGCCCCCCAATTAAGTCAACAGCTAAATATTTCAATTAAGATAAGAAACATAACTTTAAATCAACAAATTCCCTATGGCAAAAAAACTGTGAGGTAGGGGCATGCAAAGTGTAAAGTGTCACCCTCCAAAATAGAAATAATAAATGAAAATCAATTTTTTATTGATAGGTAATATTTTAAACATATTAATGTAAGTATCAAACTCCTATAAATATTTGGACACCAATTTGACTAAAGATGTTATATCAAATAATTGTTTATAGCACTTCAATTTGATGACCCAATCTGATTTACCATTACCTGAAATTTTAGAAGACACAATGCTTCAACATAATGCTAAATTTAATACTGAATAATTTCTAGAATTCAGCTCATTCGTCCGAACTGTTCATCATTATTGTTCTCATTTTACTTACCATTTTTCAATGATAGTAATACTTCTCTCTTTCTCCCTGTCTTTTTCCCATGGATGGTACTGAAATAAACTGTACAGTTCCCTGAAAACAAATCATTTCTGTATGTATCAATCAAAATATATGTGCTACCTACCCTTGTCGGTCTTTGTACATTTTGTTAACTTTTTCCCACTGGAAATCAAGCTGGGAGAGAGCTTCCTGTAGCTTCACCCTTTCCACCGGCTTGGCACTTTGCAATGCTGCTGTCTTCTTGCTGTGAATTACGTCAATCCGACCTGAGATTTGTTGTAGAGTATCTTTTATATTCTGTAATACAAAAATTTTTTAAAAAGTAAAAAATGAGTTAGTTGTCTATACAAAAGAAAACATATACATATAAATCCCAAAGGTAACAAATGGTATTTCAATTCTTAATTATTGACTTTTTAAAGTTAGTAACCATGAAGTCTAGTGACTTTGACATGCTCAAATCCAATTAGTAAATCATAGACCTCATCCTGATAGAGTGGATAACTCCCTACGTCTTAAAACTGATTTCACTTGGCTTCTGTATCTTGACATCTTCTGATTTTTCTTCTACTTTTATGTCCACTACTTCTCAGTCTCCTTTGCTGGATCCTTCTTCTCATTCTGATCTTAATATTAGAATGCTCTGGCTCAGTGTTTGCACTTCTTTTCTTCTCTTTCAATAATTCCTCCCATTTGTTTTTATAACTGTAAACATCCTATATAATAAGACAATGACACACAAATGTACATCTCAAGCTTGGACCTCTCCTCTGAACTCCAGTCTAACAAATGATAGTAATTTCTCAACATTTGGAGGTCTCACGGGACTTTCAAACTTAATATGACCCAAACAAAATTCTGAACTGCATTTCCTAATCCTTCTCCTCCCATAGATTCCCTCATTTCAGTAAATGGCAATTACTAATTTCAATTGAATTATAGTAATTCAATTAACAATTATTCAGAGTGAAAACTTTGGAGCCATCCTTAATTTTTTTTAGTCTCCAGTGTTCAAATTATTGGACAACTGTTTTGACTTGACTGTCAGAAGATATTCAGAATTTGACCACTTCTCATTATCTTTCTTCCTACAGCTCTAATATAAGCCATCATTGTCTCTCATCTGGATTATAACAAACCTATTTCCTTGTGCTTCCATTCTTTCCCTTCTCCTGGATATTTCTCCACACAAGAGCCAAAGAGATTATTTTAAAACGTAATTTGGATTATATTACCCCTCTGCTCAAAATCTTCCAGTGGCTCTTCAACACAGAGTTAAATCACAGCCAATTTTAAAAGCCTACATGAAAAATAATTACTCTTGTTGTACTTTATACAAATAATCAGACCAAGTATAATAAAGCAAATTGGGCCTATTATGATTTATCTTTAATAGAAATGGGAGACTGGGAAGAGAAAAAATTAAGTTTTAAGAACTATGGTACACCAGTTATTAGTTTGATCTGTTGTTTTTGAGTTTCTTCCTGCAATATACACTGACCCTGATTATTCCCGTGAACCTGCCAGTGATCTCTGACTTCAGCTCAGAAGAAACAAGAAGGATGGGTTGTGTAGAAATCTGGATAATTATTCTAATTCTGGACATATATTGAAATCAGCTAGCGACTTCAAATAATCTTGGTTCCAACAGTTGCCCAGTTCATGAAAATTTTCTAATTTAGTTTACTTGGGATAATCTTGCTTATTTTGCTTTACTGTTATAGAATATAATTGCTGTATAGGAATGCAGAATAAGCTTACACAATATTTTCTTAAATTGACCACTTACTAATCTTCCAGATATCACCTTTTATCAGTTATGAATAGCCCTCACCAAACTGATGCTTGCTAACTGAGCTCTTCTCTACCCTGAATACAAAAGACCCTAATAGTTAGACAGAAATATCATCAGCTATATTGAGCCTGAATAAGTTACAGAAGATGGATTTTCATCCCTCTCCTACTCTTAGGATTAAGGGTTCTGTTGTAAAAGAAATGGGGGAAATATGTCAGAGGCATTGAAACCAGAGCAAGTCTGTCTTAAATAGGGGCTGGAAAAAATAAGGCTGAGACCTACTGGGCTGCATTCTCAGGAGGTTAGGTATTCAAAGTCACAGGAAGAGACAGGAGGTCAGCACAAGATACAGGTCACAAAGACCTTGCTGATAAAGCAGGTTGCTGAAAATAAGCAGGTCAAAACCCACGAAAAACAAGATGGTCTTTCTCAGTGCTCATTATGCACTAATTATAATGCATTAGCCCACTGAAAGGCACTCTTAACAGTGCCATGACAGTTTACAAATGCCAAGGCAATATCAAGAAGTTACCTGATATAGTCTAAAATGGGAGGAACTCTCAGTTGTGGGAATTGCTTACTCTTTTCCACAGAAAACTCATGAACAATGCACCCCTTGTTCAGCATGTAATCAAGAAATAACTATAAATATCCTAGTTCGAGCAGCCCACACCACTGCCCTACCTATGGAGTAGCCATTCTTTACTCCTTTACTTTCTTAATAAACTTGCTTTTACTTTTTTTTTTAAAAAAAGCACAATATTGACTATGGTCTATAGATCTCTGTATGACTTGCTTGTATACTACCTACTATTCCAACCTCATCTCTTCCCAGTGTCTTTGTGGTCCACGATACTTCAACCTCTAGCTTTATTGCATTCCTTGCATATACCAACTATATTTTTGCTTCAAAATTTCTGTCCTTGCAGTTTTCTCTGCCAAAAATAGTTTTCCTAACCAAAATTTAGGAAATGGTTCTCTTATTTCTTTCTCATGTTAAGTGGCCTTCTCTACTACTCTATTTTAATGAGCATCAGCAATCACTCTATATTCCTCGAATTATTCTTCACTGCTCTTTATAGCCCTTATTACTAAAATTAATATATCAAATGGCCTGTATATACAAGTAGACTGAAATAAGAGATGGCGAATGCTTTTTAGTTGAATAAATGAATAAATAGATGCTTCTATAAATTCAGTCCATGTTTTATTTGTATTATATTTAGGGAAAAATCAGAAATGACAAATTTATTATATGGGAAGAAAGAAAAATCTAAACATATTTATTCTCAAATAAATTTGCTAAAAACTAAATTCTGGCTATTCTTGCTAGTATGAATTTGGTTATTTTCATCATCTAAATTGTGTATAAGGTCAACTGGGCAAAATGTATTGAGTTATTTCCATGTGTAAGGAGCAATACAGCAGAAACAAAGGTGGGTGAAACACAGTTCAGTGTGCTTTTAAAAAGTTTTAAGTGGGTTTTATTTTAGTAGTAAAAAAGGGGTATGAAGAATTGAAGAAAAAAATGAAAGTATAGCAGTATTAGCTAGATGAGAAGGAGGAAAAAGATGAGTATTTTAAGTGGCACCAAACATTTTCTAGAAGTTCAGAGAAAAAATGTATCAGATATCACATTTGGTCACAGGCTCAGGAAATAATTCATGAAGAAGGTGCAATTTGCAGTAGATATAGCTGAGTAGTAGAAGTGAGAAGAACATTATAGCTAGCAGGTAACACAAATGCAAAGAGAAGTAACAAGAGCAGTCATATTTGGCTGCATTTTTGGTAACATAGAAGCTTAGGGGAAGATGAGCCAGGAAACAAAAGCTAAGGATGTTCAATAATGTGCTTTGAATCTCAACAGAAAATTCTGCCTATACTTTAGTAGCTAATGGGGAACTATGAGTTTTACAATTTATCATTATGTAAGATTTCAAATATATATGAAAGTAGGAAAATAATACAAGTAGCTCCCATAACCCTGTAATCCAGTGCCAACTGTTATGACTCCATGGACAACCTTATTTTATGTATAATCCCACCCACTCACCTCTTCAACAAGATTATTCTGAAACAAATTGATATATTATTTTATCCATAAATACTTCAGCACTTTTCTCATGCTGAAATATTCTCTCATGAGAACTTTTTCAAGGAAAGTACACATAATACCATTATCACACCTACAGTATTCACAAAAGTCCAATAATTGAATCAAGTATCTAGTTGCTATTCACATTTGAGTTGAATTGGGAAGGAAGTTTAGGAAATCAGCTCAGCAGAATTCAGTGACTGTGTGTTGTGTGAAGAAGTCAAAGAACTTGAATGACTCTTAGGTATCTGGCCTGGGCATCCACATGATTTGTGGTATCACTGAGTAAAATGATTTCAGATGGATGACCAGGTTCCATGGGTACACACTTGTTTATGTGTACATAAGTGATTACTTCAATTTTGAATCTGGTCATACTGAAAAGCCTTCGAGGCATCAAACTGTAGATATTCCATAAGCATCTGAAATCAGATGTTGAGAAGAGGAGTAAGATGGAAAGGATTGCTGAGCCATACATATTTTCAGATTTGTATACATGGACTAGGCTTTCTGAGCAAAGAGCTCTGGTAAATGGCTTAAAGGATGACTGAATGGGAGGTATATCTTGGAGTTTAGACTAGTGCATTCCTCTGGAGAGATTTAAAAAAATTTCTGTCCAAGAGCCCTTTGATTATATTTCAACATATATTCCAAAAATAATAGACCTAGATCTTTGGTTTATATCCCAGAGCAAAGTCTCTGTCTTTTGGTATGTCTGTCTTTCTCTCTCTCTCTCTCCCCTCCCCGATGCATCAGGTGCTTTATACAGACTCTGAGATCCACAATTTTGGGATTTCTCTCCTACATTACAACCCCTGCACTCACAGATAAACATCTTTCCCTAAGATGCTTTTGCATAATTAATTATGTATTCTCTGATCCAGAGATCTTGTGTTTCCTGACTAGATAAATAAATATAAATTTTATCATGTATAAACAAAGGGAATATTCTTGCCTGTTCTGGGGCAAAATTGCAAAGGATTTATAAATTGGAGACTGGGTTAGATAGGGAGAGCTGATCTTACAGTTTTTCAGATGACAGACTCTGAAGCAAACTTTACAATCAAAAAGGGAAACGGTAAAGAAGTTAAGAATAGAACTTAAAGGGTTATCTGCCTTATTCTAAGATTTCATATTTATGGTGCATGAGGACTTGCCTTGAGCAAGAACTAAGCTGTAGAGGCAGGTGAGAATATAGATAATGTCAGCTGTAAAGGGTGAAAGTCAATGCTTACAATGGGAACCTAAAAAAAAGCAAGTGTGTTCTCATTTCTTATTATATATCAGCTCAGCAACAGGGTAAGATACAATGGTTATGGGTGATATAAGTGAATTTCAGAGAAAGAGGGTATATTTAAAATACAATTTCAAGGAATTCTCTTCAAGGCTATGTACGCCTTGTGATGG